CCACCAATTCCACCTCTGGGTATTTACCAAAATTCAAAGCAGAATCTTAAGTGCTATTTACACACTCAGATTCATTACAGCATTATTCACAACAGCCATGAGGTACAAACAACCCTAGTATCCCCTGACAGATGGATAAAGAAAATGTAGTCTATTCATGCAATGGAATGTCATGCAGCCTTTTAAAAAGGAGATCCTGTCACATGTTAAAATGTGGATGAACTTCAAGGATGACTAAGTCAAATAAGCCAGTCACAAAAGGACAAACGTGGAAGAGGTCACTCAGGAGACATCTAAAGTAGTCAAAATCATAAACACAAAGTAGAAAGTTGATTGCTGGGGGAAGAGGGGGAATTAATGTGTAGTTCTGGTTTTGCAAGATAGAAGTTCTAAAGACGTTGCACGACAATGTGAATATACTTAACACAAAACTGTACACTTAAGAATCTTTAAGAATGCCAAATTTAATGTTCTGTGATTGTAACCACAATTAAAAATAAATTAAACCAGATCCCTGGGTGGCTCAGCGGTTTAGCACCTGCCTTCAGCCCAGGTCGTGATCCTGGAGTCCCGGGATCGAGTCCTACATTGGGTTCCCTGCATGGAGCCTGCTTCTCCCTCTGCCTGTGTCTCTGCCTCTCTCTCTGTGTGTGTCTCTCATGAATAAATAAAAATACTTTTAAAAAATTAACTAAACCCGAGGCAATATGCTAAAATTCCAGTAACATCAGTTTGATATTGATGACCACTTGAAATTTCTCATCATTCTCCTTGCCATTTCCATAAACTTGCACAAGTCATGTGTATGGTTTTTCATTTCCCCATTTACAAAATGGGGGTATTTTAGTGATGAGAAAGGAGAGGATGTGTCCAAGAAAAGCACCCTGGTGGGTGTCTCCTGCACATAAGTTCAGATGCCACCACTCTCCCCCTTTCCTGTCCTCACCAGCCTTCCAACACACTGGCTGACTCCCACAAAGAAAGACAGGCCCAATTAATGTAGATTAGTTCCACAAATCATAAGCATACAATGGCATTTAAAGTCATGTTTTGTTACTCCACAAGTCCAATAAACAAAATGGATGAGAAATAGATTTTTCATATATGTGTGTGTGTGTGATTTTTTAAAAATTAAATCAACAGCCTCTAGGTCATAAACATATCACTGAGTTTCCACATACTTCACCCACACCAAAACTGATTTACCAAAATGGCCCAAGCCTGGGGAGATGGTTTGGGGCTGGGCTGTGGGCAACTTGGATGTGGCAGCAGCAGTGGCAGGCCTCCCCCCAAGACAGCACACAAGAGATCAGTTATTTCCTATACATAGTACAAAGTTTTCTAAGTTTTGCCTAATGGCAAAAAATTTCAAAACTGGAGATCAGAACTCCTCTGCAGTTGCTATGCCACTATTCTAGGGACTCAGTCAATCACTTTTTTAGCCTGAAATCTCCTTAACACTCATACTACTTTGAAATATTTTATTCCTTTCTTTCTTGGAAAAAAGTGGACATTGTAAATTTCAGAAAAACAATCAATGGAACAGCAAAGAAAACTGGCCTACTATTTGGGAATAAATAGAACTGCATTCCTGACATAATCCTTTTTTTTTTTAAGATTTTATTTATTTATTCATGATAGAGAGAGGCAGACACAGGCAGAGGGAGAAGCAGGCTCCATACAGGGAGCCCGATGTGGGACTCGATCCCGGGACTTCAAGATCCCGCCCTGGGCCAAAGGCAGGCGCCAAACCACTGAGCCACCCAGGGATCCCCTCCTGACATAATCCTATATGAAAATGGACTTGGGGTGGATTAGAGAATGAGATGTAAAAGATTAAAATGTAAAGCCACACGCAGTGATGAGAGTATGGAGCAACTAGAAACATCATACCTTGCTGGTGGGAATGCAAAATGGTTTAGCTACTTTGGAAAATAGTCTGGTACATATACGTTTACCATACATCCCAGCAATCCCATTAGTCATATCTAAGTGAAACGAAAACTTACATTCGCACACAAAAAGCATACATACAGAAATGCTTATAGCAACAGTTGTCAAAAATTGCTCAACTTGGAAATGGATCAACAAACTGATACATCCATAAGAAGGTCTAAATGAATACCTTAGGCTTGTTCTCCCCTAGGTGAACACTTTTCACAAACTAAAAGGACTCTAAACTGTCAGTTAAGGATAAACTTACATTAGTATCCAACAGGTACTCTTACCAAGGTTCCTAAGGGAGCAAGAATAAAGATCTTCCTGGGTAACATTCCTTATACCCGGGATTGGGGTAGGGGTGGGGATAGATGGAACAGCTTGAGTGATAAAATAGGAATGCATACTATAAAATTCATTAGAAACAGGTTATATGTACATAATAGATTTTCTAAAGTATTAATAGTAATAGATAAGATCCAAAGCATAATTCCATTCACATAAATTAGAAACACACCCACAAGAGGACATTTTAGAAGAAAATTATCCAAAGACTCACATGACTCATATTAGTGGAAGGATACTAGGGGAGAATATAAGAATGAAGGCAAGATGAATAGGAATATATCAGATTTTGGGGCACCTGGGTGGCTCGGCAATGGAGTGTCTGCCTTTGGCTCAGGTCGTGATCCTGGGGTCCAGGATCGAGTCCCACATCGGGCTCCCACCTGACTCACTCTGTATGTCTCTCACGAATAAATAAATAAAAATCTTTTTAAAAATAGATCAGATTTTATAAAGTTGATGTAGTAGGGACTGAAGGATATTACCATCTACTTTTGGGCTAGAAATTCTTACCCCCCCCACACACACACACCGAGGGCAAAAGCAGCTTCAACACTATCCAAGTAAATCTCACAAGAAAAGCGGTTTTAACTTTCTAAGACTATGTCAATTTAAGCATCCATGTTGAAGGGTACTACGAAAAGTACAGGCATGTAAATCTGGTCACTAGAAGTGTACTGGCAACAGCGGAATTGTTGCTTGACCTGTTATCATTTACAGAAACAGCTTATTAGTAGTCTAGAAGAATGCAATGCTTGGCCATTCTAAGAGTTCATGAGCACTGTATTATGTTTCCTGGGGCTGCTATAACAAAGTATGACAAATAGGTGGCTTGAAACAAAAACACAATGCTGGAGACTAAAAGTTGGAAATCAAGGTAGTGATAGGATCATGCTTCCTCCAAAGAAATCTAGAAAAGAATCCTTCCTTGTGATTTAACTCAATTATGCAAGATGTTATCACTGGGGGAAGGGTAAAGGGTATAGGAGACTGTGCTAATTTCTCAACACCTTGTATCATTTCACAAGAGCAAAAAGCACTTTTTTTTTAAAGATTTTATTTATTTATTCAGGAGGCAGAGAGGCAGAGACACAGGCAGAGGAGAAAAAGGATCCATGCAGGGAGCCTGACGTAGGACTCAATCCTAGGTCTCCAGGATCACACCCTGGGCTGAAGGTCGAGCTAAACAACTGAGCCACCTGGGCTGCCCATTACAAAGTAAACAAAAATTGGGGGGAGAAAAGCCTGTAAGCCAGACATAGCAATGAAATGCAGCAGAGCAGAAAGATAATGGAATACCTCTGATTAAACGTCTTGTTTTTTGGCCCACTCATTCCCAACTCAACAGAAAATGGCCTCCTGTGGTGGCACTCTAAAAATCAACTGGGCGCAGGGGGGCGGGGGGGGGGGCACAGGCCTGGGTGGCTCAGGGGTTTAGCACCTGCCTTCAGCCCAGGGTGTGATCCTGGAGACCGGGGATCGAGTCCCACATGGGGCTCCCTGCATGGAGCCTGCTTCTCCCTCTGCCTGTGTCTCTGCCTCTGTGTCTCTCATGAATAAACAAATAAAAATAAAATCAACTGGGGGGGTGCCTGGCAGGCTCAGTTGGTATAGACCAGGCAATTCTTGGATGTTGGGGCTGTATGTTGACTGGAGAGATTAAAAATAAAATCAACAACTGGGAGAAGGGCAATCAGCTTTACTTTAGATCTCCTGGCGAAGAAGCAGGATTTCCCATCTACTGAAGATTCTTATGTTGGGCACAAGTGTCATCTTGCAGAATTTTACAAGAAACCCATGAGGAAGGAATGAACCCAGTTACAGATGAAGGGTTTCAAGTGGCATCATTAGTAACTTACCTCGGGTCACACAGTAGATTAAGAACTCAAAGCCAGGTGTACTGAGGCCAGGGAATTTGCAATAGCAATCAGTTTGCAGAAAGGTCCATGAAGGTCAGAGTTAGAAGAACAGATGACTTTTTAAAAACTAAATATGCTAAATAAGCCCTTATAATAGCAAAAGCCGTAAAATGGTTACTTCATTCTCTTTTTTGTTTCTTATCTACACATTGCAAATCAATTTACTCTAAACCATTTAACTACTGAAAATACATTAATGTCCAACATTAGGAAAGAGATTTGATCTCTCCACTGGATGGGTTTCCACAATAAAAGGTAAAGATTATGAACTATGGAATGACAAAATATACCAGAAAATGTAAAGTAGAAAAGTAACCAAAGGAAGCATATTCAAAAGAAAAAGGTTTAATATACGGATTGAAGATTCACATCATAATAAAGGATATAAAGTTGAATACCTTCTTGCAATAGAAGTTCAAGTTTTGCATCTTTTCCTACTTATACTGTTCTTTTTTTCCTGTGCTTTTCTATTGCTTTCACCCCACCTCTTCCTGTCTGTTTACATGGATTCTCTCCCTCTCCCCAGTAGTTTGGAAAGCCTACTCCTACAGAAGCTAAAATGATTAACACTAATTTTAATACACCCTTTAACTTCACCAACATCTAAGCATCTGTAAAGTTCCTTTCCCCTTCTCCCCAAAGTATACTGTTCACGATCCATCCTCCTGGGTAGGATTGTGGCATTTTATTTTTGTTTTCCTTTTTGACTTTTGCTGTGAAAGGTAATATATATATATATATATATATATATATATATATGTACTGTGTGTACAGGTTTATTATATTCATCCTAGATGGCTAAAGTATATCCTCCAGTAATTCTTTCAAAGAGGGTGTGCAAGAAACAAACTTTGTGAACTCTTCAGTATCAAAAAATGTCTTCATTTTACCTTCAAAATCAAATGCCAATTTGGCTGGGTATAGGATTCTAGGTGTAAAGCCTTTTGCCTGCAGAATTTGTATTATATTGCTCCACTGACTTCTAGCATCTAGAGTGTCCAATGATAAATCTGCGGTCAATCGGATTCTCATTCCTCTGTATGTTATTTCTCTCTTTCTGGAAGCCTTTAGGATTTTTTCTTTGTCACTAGAATTCCCAAATTTCACCAAGATGTGTCTGGGAGTGAGTCTCTTCTCATCAATCTTACTAGGTATTCGATAAGCACTGACAACCGCAGGACTTGAATCCTTTAGCTCTGGAAAGTTTTCTTCAATGATTTCGTTAATTATTTCTTCTGCTCCATTCTCTTTATTATCTTTTTCTGGAATTCCTATCAAACGGATGTTGGAACTTCTCGATCTATCCTCTATGTCTCTTGACCTTTCTTTATTTATTATCTGTTTGGCCATTTGCATTGTATCCTTAGAGAATTCTTCAATACGATCTTCTAGGCTGTCCATTCTCTCCTCAAGTATATTTATTCTGCTATTCAGAACATCTATAGAACTTCTTTCTAAGACCTCTGGAAGAGAATTTTTAATATTGGTAACCTCCTCCTGTAGCTCTCTAAAGTTGGTATTTACATTTCTTCTAAAGTTTTCTTCTGTTTCTTGTATTAAGTCTGTTTCTTTAGACGTTTGTGCATCTGTTTGTAAGGTTTTGTGTGGCTCTTTCTCAGTTTTCCTTAAAAATTTGGTGATTCCTGATGGAGTACTCAAATTTGTACTTAAATGCCTTTTCTGCTTATCAGGACTTAACTCTAGTGATGTTGAGGGAGAGGCCAAACGCAAGGTACGACAGACTGTCCCAATTCCTTGGTTTCTGGGCATAGCTGTTTCCTCTTTATTCTGGGCTTTTTGTACCATCTGGTATTTCACCAATTTTTTCTTCTCAAAGTCCCGAGCCAAATAATCACAGGCAATTTCTTTAAGTCCATCTGAGGCCTCTTTTTTCTCAATTTGGGAGGCAGTCTTTATATTTTCTACTTCAGAGTCCTCTCCTTCCTCCCAAGATAAGACTACTTCCATTTCCCACTCTGAACCTTCTTCCTCCTCTGCCTCAGAATCTTCTACCTCTTCAATTAAAACAATCTCCAAGTCATTACTGTTTTTTTCCTCAACTCCATATTTTGTATTTACCACAGAATGACACTGAAATGTTGAATCCGGTTTCTTATAGGATACTGAAGCCTCCTCTTCTCCTTCCTCCTCCAGCCCCAAAGCCTCATTTCTCACCTCTTCTTCCAGCTCAGAAGTGTCTTCCTCCTCCTCTAGCCCTGAAGTCTCTTCTTCCTCTTCCTCCAGGCCCGAAGCCTCTTCTTCCTCATCCAACTCTGAAGCCTCTTCTCCCTCCTCTTCCAGCTCTGAAGAGTCTTCTGGCATCTCTAAATTCTTCACCTCCTCTGGCTCAGCAACCTTTACTTCTTTAACAAAGAGAAAGCTCAAGCCATCACTGACTTCCCCCTCAGCTCCATCCTTTGAATCTAATCGAGTTTTTTCCTGAAGTAAAAAAAAAAGAAAACAAAACTTTGTATCCTGTGTCTTTTAAAGGAATTAATGCTTTCACTCTTTAAGTTTAATTGGACCACCATCTTAACAATTACCAAATATCTATAAAATTATTTAAGTATTATTTGTTCTTGAATGCTTAGGTCCTCAAATAAGTTTCCCCTATGATCACCCCATCACACCTGGTATTGGTGCAGCATTTGCAAATTTCCATGGGGTCATAACATTTAGTGTGTTCCTTCTATATTCCCAACACTGACTCTCAAAAACAACTTGTTAGTCAACGTCTGATTACATGCAGGACCCTAAGGTAGACACTACTCTAACTTCAGGAACACTACCAAAACAAACAAGCAAACAAACAACAAAAGCCCAATACTCATATTTATTTTTTCCTCAAAGGAAATAAAAGTAAATCTAGTAGTTCTTAAATATCCCTCTTTGTAGTTCAAGCTCCAACCACATTACTCAAAAGGAAAGCATGTTTTGGTTAGTAGTACAGGCTCATTTGGTAGAGCATGTGACTCAATCTCAGGGTCATGAATTCAAACCCCACTTGTGGACATGAAGCCTACTTTAAAAAGATTGGCTTTAAAAGATTCAAATCCAGCTGTCATATTTGCTACCGGTGCATCAACTTGCCCTCTAGAACAGCATCTATGACAGCACTAAAAGAATAAATAAAGAGGAGCAGCCCGGTGGCTCAGCAGTTTATCACCACCTTCAGCCCAGGGTCTGATCCTGGAGACCCAGGATTGAGTCCCATGTCGGGCTCCCTGCATGGAGCCTGCTTGTCCCTCTGCCTGTGTGTCTGCCTCTCTCTCTCTCTCTTTGATGAATGGAAAAATAAAATATTTAAAAATATAAATAAATAATAATAAATAAATAATAAATAAATAAATAAATACTAATAAGACAGCACTATTTCAGATTGTTGGGAGGGTTAAATATGACAACCTAGGTATTGAGCCTGAGATAGTTATCTCTAATACAGAAATTGGCTCATAATATTCCTTGAAACCCTGTACGTACCTCTGAGCTTTTTAATGCTCCCTCTGTTACACTCTTCTGTATTTAGGGCTAGCTGATCACTATTTGTCCTTCCACCCCTCCTCCCCATCAACTGTCCAGGACAGGTTGGGTACCTCATCTGTGAAAATCTCTGGGGAACAGTTAAATTCTGAGGTTAGGCGAATTCTCAAAGAATTTGTTGATCCAAGTATATTTCCTAATTCTAGACTGTCATTTTAGAAATATTTTACACTTCAAAATGTTGGGAGGGCAAAAGAATTGGGTATTCTTTTGAAAACACATCGAAAATACTGGCTTGGGGGCACCTGGGTGGCTCAGTGGTTGAGCATCTGCCTTTGGCTCAGGTCATTATCCCAGGACCCCATGGGGAGCTTGCTTCTCCCTCTGCCTATGTCTCTGTCCCTCTGTCTTTCATGAATAAATAAAATCTTTTAAAAAATACTGGCATAGGATACAGGCCTCTGAGGATACAAATAAATGGAGGTATACTGTGCTCATTAATTGGTAGAATATTGTTAAAATGTCTATACTACTGAAGGCAATCTGCAGATTCAATGCAATCTCTACTAAAATTCCAATGCCATTTTTCATAGGAATATAACAATCCTAAAATTTGTATGGAACCACAAAAGACCACAAATACCCAAAGCTGTCTTGAAAAGGAATAAGGCAGGAGGCATCACACTCTGATTTCATACCGAATTACAAAACTACAGTAATCAAAACAGTATGGTATTGCAGGATAGTTCACAAAAACAGACATACAAATCAATGTAAAGAGAATAGAGAGCCCAGAAACAAACCCACATGTATATGGTCAACTGATATATGGAAAAAGGAGGCAAGAATATGCAAGGGAGATAGTCCCTTTAATAAATGGTGCTGGGAAAACTGGACGGTCACATGCAAAAGAATGAAACTAGACTACGGTCTTACACCACAGACAAATATAAGAAATATACACACACTGAAGATGGGAGATAGAGAATGTCTACAATATACCACAGGAGCTACCTTTTAAGATTGGGATCACAAAAAATATTCAGAAAATAACCTAATGTGTTTTCAATGAAATCAAATACATGGGAACATAATCTAATCTAAGAAACCAAGATCTTTATACATGGAATGGGTAACAGCTAGATATTAACATAATGAATGCTAGAATAGGCTTTAGTAAAATAGATTTATTTACTTTTCCCTGACTACTAATGAAGACAACTTAGGACTACTTTATAAATTGAAAGTGGAACACACTTCTATTTGGTCATTTTTTTCATAATCCCATTGCATGAGGGCTTTTACCTGAATTTACTCAACTGTTTGTTTCTATTTTTCCCTTTTAATGATTTAAAAGGGACTATCCTAGTGTTTACCCTTAAATACATAACATTTAAATTTTTCTTTTAACATCTGTAATGATTATGTACAAACTCTTCTCAAATCTAACTTCTTCCAATCTTCCAACACCACCCATTAAAAGAAAAAAAGCCTTGAAGTCATTACTCTTAAGGTCATACTTTTACTTTTAATTATTTCTTAAAAATTGGTTTAAACTCTAGAACTTTACCAACTATTACTTATTCTCTGCATATAAGCTCCACAGATCTGTATACTTACCACTTTTTCTTGAATTCCGTAACTTCTTCCTTTCTTTATTTTTTCATTTTGTGGGAGTACATCTTTCAGTAATTTGTTCATAAATGGTTTCTGGCTAGTAAAATTGCTGAGACTTTGCATATCTGAAAAGGTCCTTACTTCACCATCACACTTAAATGTTAACTTAACTTGGCATAGAACTTTAGGTTCAAAATCATTTTCCCTCAGAATGTTGAAGACATTACTCCATTGCTTACTAACGTCCAGTGTTGCTGATGAAAAGTCTGCTGCCAACCTAAGTACTGCTCCTTCATCTTCTCTGGAGGCTTTTAGAGTTTTCTCTTTATTCTCTAAATTCTGAGGGATTTTTTCCTCTCTTTTTTCTTTGACCTGTTCATCTTCTCCAATCTCTTGGTTCTCTTGTGTTACTTCTATAAGGATGCTACAATCTTCACAAGTGTTGTCTACATTGCCTATGGCTTCCTCCACACTTTCCAGGACTTTGTCATTTTGTGATTCATCATGGGACAATTCCTTGCCTTGGTCCACACTGTAGTCCTCAGGTTTGTCTAATTTGCTACTCAGTTCACTTATTTCTTTTCTTTTAGAAGCCACATTTTCAGTATCTTCAACTATGTCAGAGTTTGCTCCTTCTATTTTCTCTACCGAACATGGTTTTTGTGTGGTTGAGCCTTTTATTTGTTGCCACTCTTTTTTGGTACTGGAGTTGTTTTTATTTTTCACTTCAGGTATTTTACTTTCTACTCCTAAAATTTCCCTTAGGTCATTTTTAAAGGATTCCCTTATCTCTTCAACCATTAACTCCAGGCTTTCCATCAAGCCTTTAAACTTCATCAGCATAACTGCTGACACATCTTTGCCTTTTAAATCTAATACCTGAGCCATCTCCTGGTCTTCTAGCAACTGAATGCTTTTCCTATGGGTGCTACATTCCTGTTTCTTTGCAAGTCTAACAACTTCTGACTCTGCAATGGACATTGTGGATACGTTGTTTTATTTTCCTGAAGAGTAACTTTTGTTCTTGCAGGTCTGCTAGACTTTCCCAAACTCAAAAAACTTTATAATATATCATCTGAAATATAAAAACAAAAACAGAAACTCATTTACTGATGAATTCTTGAGAAGCACAATAATCAAGAATATGAATTTGGTTAAGTAAACCATAGTATGAGAACTCCACCACAATTTAATACAAAGGGTGATAAGATGGGTGTATGCATACTAACAAAAAAAAATAGAATTCAAAATTCATAAAAGATTAAGACCGCACTCAAGTAAAGCTTTCAATGCCATAAATCAACCAAATAGTAGATGAAAACGAATGACAGAAATTGACCAGTTTCCTATACTATTAACTTTGCTGCCTGTGTTCTCTGTGAGGATTAAACAGAGTACAAGAAAATAAACATTACTAAAAAGAATGTATCATACCCAATTCTTAAAGTTTAAGTACTTGAATGGAATCTTACACAAAATGGAAAGAGAAGCCCCTTTCTTTGACGCAGAGATAGTTAACATTAAGACTTTAATTTCTTGGGCAGCCCCGGTGGCGCAGCGGTTTAGCGCCGCCTGCAGCCCAGGGTGTGATCCTGGAGACCCTGGATGAGTCCCACGTCGGGCTCCCTGCTTCTCCCTCTGCCTGTGTCTCTGCCTCTCATTCTCTCTTTGTGTCTCTATGAATAAATAAATAAAATCTTTAAAAAAAAAAAACTCTGCCTCTAAAAAAAAATAAAAAGACTTTTAGTTTCTTTAAACATGCTCGCGGTGCGGTGCGCTTGGGTGGCTCAGTCGTTTAAGATCTGTTTGTTGGGATCCCTGGGTGGCACAGCGGTTTAGCGCCTGCCTTTGGCCCAGGGCACGATCCTGGAGACCCGGGATCGAATCCCACGTCGGGCTCCTGGTGCATGGAGCCTGCTTCTCCCTCTGCCTGTGTCTCTGCCTCTCCCTCCCTCCCTCTCTCTCTCTCTCTCTCTCTCTCTCTCTCTCTCTCTCGCTGTGACTATCATAAATAAATAAAAATTTTTTTTAAAAAAAGGATATGTTTGTTTTTTTTTTTTTTAAGATTTTATTTATTCATGAGACACACAGAAAGAGAGAGAGAGGCAGAGACACACGCAGAGGGAGAAGTTGGCTCCATGCAGGGAGTCCGACGTGGGACTCGACTCCGAGTCTCCAGGATCAGGCCCTGGGCTGAAGGTGGCGCTAAAGCACTGAGCCATCCAGGCTGCCCAAGAGCATGACTCTATTTCAGCTCAGGTCATGATCTCTGGGGGCTTGGAGCTCTGTGCTCAGTGGGGAGTTTGAGATTCTCTTTCTCTCTCTCTTCCTCTGCCCCCGCTCCACAGGCTCTCCCTCTCACATCAATAAATCAATCTTAAAAAAAAAAAAACAACATACCCAGCTCTCAAGTCAATTCAGAATATTACTTTCCAGAATGCAAATATTAAGGCATACCCTGAGAGGAGCAGAAAACCCATGCCTACTCCCACCTCACAAAGGCCCCTTTATCTTTGCATGAGGAGACTCAGTTAGGTTGTTCATTTTTTTCAGCATTCCACCCTGTGGTCCTGACCCTGTGTGGTGGAAAGGGACAAACCACCCCCATTCTTCATCACTTAGTTCACAGGGATAGGAAGCAGGTATGCACAATACACACACTTTGGACAACAGCTGGGATGCCTGTTCCTGAATCTTTTCCTCTGCAAAACATACCAAGTATTCAAGTTCTACCCACTTGACTTTGCTGCTGATACACTAACAGTTGTACCACCTGCCTTCAAGACCCAAACTGCTTGAACTTACAGGTATGAAAAGAAAAATTCCCTCCTCTGTAAGAGAATTTAGCAACTTAAAGGAAGGAGATTAGGGTAAATAAACAAAAGTGCTAGCGATTATCAAAGAAGATGAGCTGAAGAGTAAAGGTTAATAGGACTCATGAGTACTAATAGTGACTTTGAGAAACAGAACCAGAAAACCTTTCAAGCATCGAATGGAGGGATAAAAAACACAGATCATAGCAATAGATAACTCTCACTGGAATGAAGTCATCTGATTGAAAAAAAAATCATCGGGTCGGGTGCAAGGTTAATAAAAGATGCATATATATCTATATATAGTATCGATAAAATTTCTGGATTCAGACATAAGCATAAGTTCCCAGAAACATTTATTTCTTTTTTAAAGGTTTAATGTCTTTGAGAGAGAGTGAGAGCATGAGCTGGGTGGGGAAGGGGCAGAGGGAGAGAAATAGACTCCCATCTGAGCGTGGAGCCTGACTTGGGGCTCAATCCCAGGATCCCGGGATCATGACCTGAGCTGAAGTCAGATGACTAATCCACTCAACCACTGAGGCGCTGCCCACTACCCACACTTAGTGAGGGACTGTATACTAGTTACTGTGCTGGATAGGAAAGGAAAAAGATGCTGAGTAAAAAACTGACCCAGAGGGGCGCCTGGTGGCTCACTCAGTTAAGTGGCCAATTCTTTTTTTATTTAATTTCTTTCTAAAGATTTTATTTATTTATTCATGAGAGACACAGAGAGAAAGAGGCAGAGATACAGGCAGAGGGAGAAGCAGGCTCCATGCAGGGAGGCCCGATGTGGGACTTGATCCCAGGTCTCCAGGATCAACTGCTGAGCCACCCAGGCATCCCTAAGTGTCCAATTCTTGTTTTCAGCTCAGGTCCTGAGATCAGAGATGAGGCCCTGCATCAAGCTGGTGCTGAGCATGGAGCCTCCCTAAGAGTCTCCCTCCATCCCTCTGCCCCCCTTTCCCCACGAAGAGAAAGCAAAACAAAACAAAACAACAAAAACCCTGACGTGAAACCTCCCCTGAAAGGGGGTAAATATCTAGGGAGAAACAAGTATCAAATTGCCATTGTGCCCACTTACAAAGTACGGGGTCAAGGGTCATAAGTGTCTATACCAGGTGTCATTTTATGTATTCAAGGGAGACTCAGGAAGGCTTCCCCTGCAGTAGTTCATATGGAATCTGAGAAATAAGCAGCAGTTACATAGCAAAGAACAGAAGCAAGTACATTTCACGCAGGGGAGAAACTACCTGCAAGGCTGGAGCAAGCGTCTCAGAAGGGTAACCCACGGAGGGAGGGAGCAGGAGGGCCGGCTCTGGTGGATCTGGCTTCTAAACGGGGAAGGTCAGGAAAAAGCCGGGTTTTAAAGGAAGAGTACACATTTTGTTGAACTCATGAAGTGTGAAGTGCTCTTGCAATAATTAAGAGAACCAGATAAGCATGTCTAGAACCCAAACTAGTTTCTGCTCTGCAGATACACATTTGTGATTCATATGCCCATAGGCAGTTAACTCCATAACCAACAAACATTCCAAAAACAAAGGAAAAAAAAAATCATATCAGCATGAGACTTAAGAAGATGCTAGAAGCCATTTACTGGGAGAAAATATTTCCCAAAGACCTATCTGATAAAGGATTGTTATCCAAAATATACATGAAACTCCTACGACCTAGTACAAAGAAAATGAACAACCTGATTAAAAAAATAGGCAAAAGACTTGAAGAGACATTGCACCAGGGAAGATCTACAAACAGCAAGTCAGCATATGAAAAGATGCTCCATTGTGTGTCATCAGGTAAATGCAAATTAAAATAACTAGATACCACAACACGCCTATCAGAATGGCCAAAATCTGAACTACTAACATCAGATGCTGATAAGAATGCAGAGTAACAGGAACATGCATTCACTCTGTTGATGCAAATAAAAAATATTACAGCTACTTTGGAAGACACTATGGCAGTTTCTTGCAAAACTAAACATACTCTTACCATATGATCCTACAATCATGCTCCTTTGTAATTCATCCAAAGGAGTAAAAAAACTTGTATCCATACAAAACCTGCATCCACCCCGAGAGGCTTGTTTATTGATTGATTGATTGAAAGGTTTTATTTATTTATTCATGAGAGACACAGGCAGAGGAGAAGCAGGCTCATGAGAGACACAGGCAGAGGGAGAAGCAGGCTCCATGCAGGGAGCCTGACGGGGGACTCCATCCAGGGTCTCCAGGATCATGCCCTGGGTGGAGGGTGGCGCTAAACCGCTGAGCCACCCAGGGCTGCCCTAGCAGCCTTAACTGAGAAGGAACCAAGATATCTTTCAGTAGGTGGATAAACTGTGGTACTATTCTTCATTGCTAAAAAGAAAGGAGTTAGTAAGCCATAGAAGACATGGAGGAGACTAATGCATATTACTAAGTCAAAGAAACCAACCTGGAAAGGCTACATACTGTAGGTTTCCAATTACATGACATTCTGGAAAAGTCAAAACTACAGAGAGAGAAAAAGATCAGTTCTCAGGAATTGAGGGGAGGGAGATAAACAGGCAAGAACACAGGATTTTTAGGATAGTGAAATTCCTTTGTTCTGTTTTTTTAAAAAGATTTTATCTATTTATCCATGAGAGAGACAGAGAGAGGCAGAGACGAGACAGGTAGAGGGAGAAGCAGGCTCCAAATAGGAGCCTGACGTGGGTGGGACTGGATCTGGGGACTCTGGGAACAGGCCATTGAGTGAAAGTCAGACGCTCAACCGCTAAGCCACTGGGGCGTCCCAGTGAAATTCTTTTGTATGATACAGTTGCAGATACATGTCACCCAGTTGTCAAAAGTCACAGAAACTCAGAAAATTCACTCACCAAGAATAAACCCTAATGCAACCGATGGACTCTGGGTGATGATATATATCGATGTAAATTCAATGATGGTAACAAAATGTGCCACTAGGGCGTGGGATGCTGATCAGAGGCTGCATGTGCGTGGTGGCAGGGAGCATATGGGAGGAGTTCTCTGTACTTTGCACTCAGTGTGCTGTGAACCTAAAACTGCTCCAAAAATTATGTTTATTAGTTAGAAAAAATTAGCATGAAACATCTTGTCTGCATAAAAAAAAAATAGAACTTTAGGGACTACTACAAAAAGGGATATAAGAATCATAGGAGGGCAGCCCGGGTGGCTCAGCGGTTTAGCGCCACCTTCAGCCCAG